AAAAATAACAAAAATATGTGTTTTAATGTAAAAATAGTTGACAGTCATCGCAAATATAACTCTCTGCAGAATCCCATCCACTGCACTCTGAATAAGCCCATCGTGTGCAAACGGTAAATATATACCACAATTCATTGTTTTTGCCAAACTCGCTGTAAACCATGCATCTATCTTCGTATGCATCGTCACTGTTATCACATGATATATCAATATCCGATTCCAAAGAACTAGAATCAAACACCTTTTTCTTGTAATGCCAATTACAAGAAAAAGGTGTTTTATTACAAGAAAAATTATTTTGTGAACCCAAATGCTATTTTTCTCAGTTCTATTGCTGTTACGCCATAAAAAATTAAGCTAAATATTTTTTTTGTGTGGCTATTTTAGCTTCTTGTTCGACAGAAAATACTGATTTTCTACCTAATGAGACACCTTGAAGATTTTTATTTTTTATTCTTTCTTGCAATGTCGAAAAATGGATGGATTAATCCCTAAGGATTAATAGTATAGGGTATAAATTATAGCATGGGGGTAATACCGGTCAACTGACCGGCATTGCCTCCTGTTGGCATTTTTTTTCTTAGAATTTTTTACTCGTAAACATGTATTAAAATATTGATCTTTAAAAAAGGAATAGGCAGCTAACGTCATTATAATCAATTGTAACCAATTTTAAGATCTACAAGTGAATAAAAATGAATTAAGACCTTATATTACTCAGCATAAAAATAAGATCGAAAACACTGCAAACAGGTTAATAATATTTCTATGACAATGGTTTGCGCCAACTCAACGCTTGTCAGCAATCTGAATACAGAGTAGTGTAGCGACACGTTGGCAGTTATAGGAGGTTGCCAGATTGAATAGATTTCGCACAATCGAGATGACCGCCATTACCCACTGACCGGTATTTGCACAGTTTACCCTAATCTCAACATTGAGGGCTAGAATATCAAACAGAAGCAAAGAAAATAAAATAGATAGAAAGAAATGGAATGTGCAAAAGCTAAGAGATGCAAAAATTGCAGAACGGTACTTAAAAAACATCACCAACAAAGTAAGAAATCAAAATGCAAGTGAAGAAGCTCAGAAATATATAGACTCCTACTGGACCAGAATAAAAAAAGATCGTGAATAAGTAGAAAAAGATAAAATACCAACACAAAATTGTGCCCGTAAAAGTCATTAGTGTGACGATAATTGCAAAAATGTACAAAAGAAAAATCAAAGCGTACATAAAGATGCTTACCCGACGAACTAGAACAACTGTAGAGAATTACCAGACAAAGAAAAAAGAAGAAAAGTAGATACACAAAAGCAAGAAACGAAACCGCTTAAATAAGGAACTTAAATATATAGAAAACTTTAACAGAGAGTAAGACTTCAGAGCATTCAATGAGAAAGTTAGCATCAACAGAAAAGAATTTAAGGTAACCGCAAGCCACTGCAGAAGTCAGAATGGTGACCTATTAACAACAAGTAAATATGTATTACATAGATAGGTGGAATAATTTAACCAGTTACTTAATATAGAGAAAGAAAAAGAAAATCTAGAAGATAAAAGAGATGAGGTAAGCGACAGACGAGAGGGAAGAGAAACGACAAACGATTCTTGAAGTTAAAGATGCAGTTAAAAAACTGTTAAAAAAGCCAATAACAAATCATCCGGAATATATAATCTCCCAGCTGAACTATATAAAGAAGATGGTGACGATACCATATTGGTAATACAGCAGCTCATAAAAGAAATATAGACACAGAAATCCCTCTCCAGTGATTGGAATATTGGAATACTTTGCACCATACACAAAAAAGAATACACATATTCTTGATCTCCATTCGGTTGGCGACCCCTTCCATTGAATGCTCCATTGGCAGTGTTTGCGAACCGTTTCTGGAAATCATTAAAAAAAAATAAATTAAATTATGAGATTTAACCTATAACGTTTATAAATCCAGGGTCACCCAGTGACAGTATTACGTCAGTGTTATGTTCGCAAAGAACTTGTAGTGAAAGATCACCAGAAAAAGAGGATATGTTTTGATCAAGTAGGTGCGTACTCTTAGCCCATTTACCATAAATCTAAGGCCTACCTAAACTAAATTTCAATAAGCGATGTAGGGCGTGTAAACAACGATAAAATTATATTTTAATTGTTAAATATGTTCAAAATTTATCTACTCGTTCCTATGGTAACAGTATATTATTAAGATCACTTTATCAATTTTTCTCTTAAGTAAAAAAATAATTTGAAATTTATTTAAATAAGAAACAATAAAAAATCTCAGGTTTTTGTGATCGAAGTGTATTTACGGTGATTAAGGAATTTTTTTTATGGGAAACAAAACACCCACCGTAGATGTGTTTTTAAAGAAGGTGAACCATGAACCTGATTTGTGGAATTTGACAAAAATCACATTTTATAGAATATTAAAAAAATTAATTTGCAATATCAACGCAGGAGAAAAAATGCCCTTATGTTATGCAAAGGCGATATTGTGGTGTGGCAATGAGAATATATTCAACAGATAAGTACTTATAGAGAAATGAAGCGCAAAATTTATTATCTGTATAAGACATTCTACATATTTCAAATCTCAAAACTTACAAATACTTTAAATTTTTAAGAAAAGGTAAAAGACTTATTATTTAAAAGATTATTTGTGACATTAGCTGCGAGAATGGCTTTCTTTCAAATCCCCTCTGGGCATTTGAGTCGAATAAGTCTGGTGATTACCATGAAGAGATGATCAGATCTAGAGACAGATAAATCTTTTAAAAATTGGTGAAAATTTTCAATGTCTGATCAATATTAGAAGACAAAAGCAATATCCAGAATTGGCTCCTTTCCAAAAATATAAAATTTTATCAACATATGCTTAAAGTACAGTTTCTTTCAATCATACAAAAACATACCATACCGGAATAAACTGCTATGGGAACTTCTTCTGTACCACTGTGGGTTAAATCCCATAGAACTCATGTAGGCAAATATTAAAAATGATAGCGGTAGATGGTTGAACCGCATCCATATCCATTTTGCCGAGCTTTCGGCATCCTCTCTGATGCCTTCCTCAGGGCTTCCGAGGTCTCAGTCTCCCGAGCCCCCAGACACTACTACACTGTTCACTAATCACTGCACTGTCACTACTACGTCTGGGATCAGGAGACGGTTCATTTATACCGTCGATGATGGCGTGGCCTAGGTGGGGGTTAGCGCAAGAGTTAGTGCTGGGGTTGGAATTTTGATTCGAGGATGGAGGGGCGATATTTTCTTTATGAGAGGTCTCCATGTAGAAGGTAACCGTATGGCGTCATCTCTTTTATTACGACAATTTGGCCTTTTTTCTATTTCTAGAAGAGAGCTGAAATTGAATCAGAATTGTGAACAGAAATGGAATGTTCATAAATCCTATTTTGGATTCTACAATTTGTTTGGCCTATATAGGATCGGGGACAGTCTGCACAAGGTATTTTATAAACTCCGTGTTATTCATTTGGAATATTGTCTTTGATAGATCGGACAAGAGATGAAAGTTTTTGTTGGGGAGTAAATATTGTTTTTATTCCTCTTGGTTTTAGAATTCTGTCGATTTTGTCAGTGACACCTTTGATATAAGAAAGAAAAGCTTTCGTATAATAAGGGTCTGAGCCTTTGGGTTGAGAATGAGTGGGAGATTGATGTCTGTGAATGCTCCTATTGATGTGATTTTCGCGGTAACCGTTTTGGATTGGGGCTTGTTTTTAACAAGAGAGCTCAGCGGGTCTACTTGCATCATCGGAAAGGCGTATTGATCTGGAGACAAGGGTATTAATAACTGAATTAATTTGTGAAGGTTGATGGTGAGAGTTGGCATGCAAGTACCGATTGGTATGTGTGGGTTTTCGATAAACAGAGTAATGGAAACCTTGGGTTTAGTTTTTCTTGATGAACACATCAAGAAACGGTAGGGATGAATCAGTTTCCATCTCCATCGTGAACTGGATACTAGGATGTATACCATTCAGATGAGTTTGAAAAAATACTAAAGCATCCCTGCTATGGGGCCAAATGACGAATGTATCGTCAACATATCGTAGCCAACATGTGGGCTTAAGCATTGATGTGGATAGTGCTCGGGTCTCGAAGTCTTCCATAAAGATATTGGCAATTACTGGAGATAGAGGGGAGCCCATTGGGGCACTATTTATTTGTCTGTAGAATTTGTTTTGAAAGCTTTCAAATCATGTGTGTGTGTATGTTTAAGAAAAAGTAGAAAAGGAAAAAGGAAATGTGGCAGCTGTCAAATATAATTAAAACACATTTTAAACCACTTTTATAAATGTTGATGATAGTGACATATTATCCAGTTCTTCAGAATGATGATTAAAAGTAGCCGAGATCTCGATCTCGGCCATATATTTACGTCGAATTTAAACGAATTATGAAGCACTTTGTATTTTAATTCAAAAGAACTAACCGTTTTGCAATATTTAAATTTTTTGGAATCGTACAAACAACTATAACAAAAATTATAAATAAAACTTATATTCTTGGAGAAAATTGTTGCCGCTTTTGACATAAAAATATAATTTCTTGGCTTTTTTCATCTTGTATGAATGATTCATTTTGTCAGATATTAACTAAAAACAATCAGGTTTTTTATCTCGCATTTTTGTAAAATTAAAATATAAATTTCGTATTTTACAAGATAATAGATACTTCTGGCCAAACGAAAATATAATCGTAAATACGGTCCTGTTAGAGCCCTACACGTGCTAATGTTTACGTCTACCGCATCGCTTATTGATATTTAGTATAGGTGAAACACCTTGTATATATTTACTTCGACCCCCTAGCCGCAAAAGACAGAACAAGCGACTTAACTATTATAAAAGATTGAACAGGAAAAGCATTCTAACCATGGAAAAATTATCTGTTTGATAGATCTTATTTATTAAACAATTATTTTACAAACGGAAAATAATTCTTATCTTAAATTAATTAGTACAACAAATTGTAGGAACTCGGTTAGAAATGACTCATTTATATTTGTGGCAATTATACAGCAGTTTTTATAGAACTAACATAATTTTGGTGACAACTATGATTTCAATGAACTATGATCTCTTTTTAGGTTGATTCGTATTAATACGGGATGAAATGGCGTTTGACTTAAACAAATATATTTCAGTGGAAATTCCATTGTTTTTTATGTTTGTGAATTTTTTACTCACAAGTAAGTATATTAAAATATTCTAACTAGACATAAAATTACTTATTTCTGTGTATCTGCTAATATTCCACTTTATTACTTATCTTTCTACGCTAATTTGCAAAAAAATTGATTATGGTATAGACTAATATATGGTATATAATATAAGTAGACTTTATTATTAACTTTAAAATATGTTTGAGGTAAGTAAAATAAATTTGAGACAAGTTTATTCTTTATACAGTATTTACCCATTGAGCCGCTCAATATACAAAGAGAAATTTGACAATTAGCTTATTAGATTGGATTAAAACAAATAAATAAAGACTAATTTACAACAAAAAATATTTTTTTCCCATTTTCAAGGAAAACAGTAAATTTTTATTAAAGGAACATATTGTATCTTAAATGTAAATTAAATTTTAAGGTAAAAATGGTATTACTTTTGCACATCCTACATTTTTGCACTATCGTCTCTTTTGTAATGCGGCTAACATTATCGAATCTGGTTTCATCTGGTAAAGCAAATTTAGATTGATGTCCATGTACTAAGTGTGACACTAATGTAGCGGTTTCTTCACTATTATAAATTATAAATATAAATCTATGTCGGCTCATGCTTTCTCTTATAATGTGCACTTCTTTATTCTCATCCTTTGACCAATACATATCAACTTGAAGCAGAGTGTAAACCAGATAATATACATATGCTATAGTTTATTTTTATGAACGAGAGAGTAATTAGCATAATTTTAACTGGTATCTCCGACCACTCCATGGGCGTGCTCAAGATTAATTGAAAAATTACTTTGAATAATTGTAAAAAATAAATGAATTATTTCAGTGTTATAAAGTGTTATGTGTATGTAAACAAAAGTGACCTCTTTTATCACACACTATATTAGAACTGACTGGCCTACAATGAAAAGGGTTTTAAAAAATTCACATTTTTTTTAATTTTTAAAAATTACAAAAGAGAAAAAGAGTTTTTAAAACCGTCTAAGGTATGTTAAATAGATGAATAAAAATATTAATATAAAACTTACAGCTACTTGTTACAAATCCAAATCAGATTCAGAAGATGAACTTTCAGAACCAAGATTTATAATAACTGGCTCGATCATTTTATCAGTAATATTGTCCAGCTTCCACATTTTTTCCTCTTCTTTAATAGTGTGATTTACTGCCTTTTCCCAGTTTTCAGGTTTTACATTATTTACGGCCTCCAAAAACAACTGTTTAACATCATGAATTTTAAAAGTGGTATTTTTTCTTGAAACTTCACTCTTTATCTGTGCCCATACCAGTTCAATCGGGTTTAATTCACAATGATATGGTGGGGATCTAAGTACTGTCATTCCACGATTTTTGGCAATTTCATCAATTTCGTATTTTTACAATTTTTCTTTATGAAGGGCACACAACGAATAAAGTTCCTTTCTTATAGATCCGGGATGGTACGTAATATTTTTTGAACTCAGCCAATTCTGCAAGTCTTTTTTTAACCACTTGGTTGTGGGCAGTCCTTCTATAAGTCTGGAGTGATAACTTGCATTATCCATTACTATTACACAGTTCTTAGGAAGAAGATCTATCATTTGTTCGAACCATTCTTGAAAGACATCAGCGTTCATGTCTTCATGGTAGTCACCGGTACGAGTTGATTCAAAAGTTAATAAACCACCTTCAACAAAACCGTCTGAATTGCCAATGTGTACTATTATCAGCCTGCGTCCCTTTCCTGATGGTGGGTTTAAACCAGTAGATAAGTTATTTACAAAAGCGTGCCTTTGACTTGTAACAGTTTCATCCTGCCAAAATTTATTTGGTGTATGACCCTCGTTGATCCATGTTTCATCAAGATAAAATATTTTTCTTTTTTGGTTTCTCATTTCCTTTATGGTTCTTAGAAAATGTCTTCTCCATATGACAATATCGCTTCTTTCTAATAAAATAGACTTTCTGGGATTCTTTTTCCAGCGGAAGCCTATTTCTTTTAAAAGTTTCCATAACGTACTTCGACTCATTTCTGGGTAATCCTTATCATCTCGAACTGAGACAATAACTTTATCCAATGTTGGAGATTCTTGTCTAAAGAAGAATTCATGCACTATCCGTCGAAGTCCTTCTTTAAAATGATATTCTATTAGAAATTTTGGTTTCCCTGGATCATTACGTGGCATTTGAAAACTACCACATTTCTCTTCTTTAATAACTCTGTAAATCGTAGATTTCCCAACACCAAGTGTACTGCTAACTAACTCAACGGTCTCATCAACACTTTCACATAAACGTTTGACTGTAAATGAATTAAAACAATTAAATATTAATGTTTTTTCATTAACTGTTAAAGGACCAATTTTTCGGCGTTAACACAGCACTTCCAAATTTTCCATAACACTAGTATACACAATAAACTGCACCTTGCAACTGAAGTACCTACTTTTAGTGAACTGTTAAGAATTTTGAATACGCCACTTGGACCTTCCTACAAAATGGAAAAACCCACTATCACATTTTCTGTGGAATAAGTAATTATCTAGTCAATTACTGTCGTAGATTCCTGGAATTAAAGAATTAAATGTTTGATTGTTGAAACCCTTACTTCGTGGAATGCACTCCTTTCAGATAAAATAAAACGTTTTATTTTATCTAAAGAATTAAACTTTATTTTGCAAATAGGTAGGTACTTATTAAACTTTTATTGGTTATATATAACCAATAAAATAAACATCTTACATTTCTTGCAAATTCATTAGTACCTGTTAACCTCCATCACTCCGACACTGGCAACCTTATTTAGGGATTAGTAACCCTCACAAGTATTGTATTCTATTCTTCTCCAACCTTTATACCTGGTGGTCATACTCAATTTAAAATTGTTTTCCTATATACTTCTGTAAACTTGTTGAATAATATCTGTTTTTCGCATATCTGTTTTAATATCTGAGCACGAATGAGTATATGTTGTTACAACTTAAGACAAATTTGGATTTACTATTTTTGCCTGGTTTTTTTTGGACTTTTAATCTGTGGTTTAAAGGAATATCATAATCATAATTCTTCACAAATAATATTATCATCAATGGCTTCTACATCAGAAACTTTCTAATCTAATCTCGGCAGCAAATAAAAAATAAACCACATTAAGTGAGTCACAATTTTCACAATATGTCTTCTTCTAACAAAGCTACTAACTCTTTAGTAGTTAGTGCCATCTTCATTTCATATTTCGAAAATTTATTAAAATAAACAAACGCACTACTATATAAATGAATTCACAGTTTAGCTTACTTTATTTTAATTTATATGAACTTCATAATATATATTTATATACACAAATAAACACAAGGAAACTTTCAAATTAAGTTAATAAGAATAAACAAATATAACGTTTACAGCAGACAGATATTCTATAAATAGAGAATGATGTGTAATGACGAGATCGTATGTTAAAATTTTGGATTGTTTTTAGTCTAATGAAAAAAATAAATATTTTCCAAATATTATTTGAAGTTTTTGAAGTTTCCTAAATTATTTGAAATTCTGTATTAGTTACTCTTTAATAAGAATAAAATGTTACTTTATTTTGTTAGACAACTATAAGATACTTGTTAAAAGACACATGATAATTTAATAATTATATCGGTCTTAGATTTAATTTTTACGTTATTACTTATGTGTTTAAATAAATAATTAAAATTGTTTTGGTACGTCTCTGCAAAATTGATAAGTGGAATATGATTTCGTTACAAAGTTATCGTTAAGAACTTCGTTAGGTGCGATGTTGCCAAGTAATCACCTTCAATTAAAAATTGTTTTAGTATAAGAGAAAAATTATTTTAAAAAATAACAGGTTATACCTTGCAATCCGAAGCTCTCAAGGATGTAATAAGGACATCATGTAACAAGGGATTCCTCCAATTGCAAAGGCTCTCTTTACTGACATCTGCATCTAGTTAATATTTAATTATAATAATTAATACCAGATATTTTTGGATGAAATACAAACCGCACAACTTTAAAATCACATAAAAATAATCCGCGTAAAAAGAGACCTTACTGTATATGCTAAGTAAACACAAGCAATATTTTTAAATTAAAAAAAAAAACACTGAAAAATACGTAAAAAATTATTTTTCAATATTTTAACCATGATTATCTACCTATAAAAATCTGAAAAAAATCATACTTAAAAAAAATCATTACAAAAATCTGCAAATAATCAGATAACTTGATACTTAAAGAATATTATTAATTATTGTAGGTGTTAAGTTCGAGTCACTTTTATTTTAAACACATTTTTAAAATTTCAAAAGCGTTAAAAAATTTGTATTTCGCGCCAAACTTTTTGTAAAAAATACGATGTTGTACGAGGTAAAGTTTTTAAGATGATTAGAAGTGAATATAAAAACGAAAAAATACGTTTTAATTTTTTTGAGATTATGTTTGGGTCTAGGGGTCTAACATTTTTTTTAGTTGAATGCTTTTTGACATAGGAAAACATTTTTTACTATCTAAACCGGCTAAACCCTTTGTGCAAAATGTGTAGAAAGTTCAATGGACAATTTCCACTTCAGAAATCGTTCTCAAAATACAAATATTAATAAATTAAACAAATTTTGTTTTTTATTACTTGGTGAAAAATTCTTCTAATAATTTAAACTGATCTGATTCATTTACATTGACAATTCAGACATATATTATACATTTTAAAGTAGATAACTTTAAAATGATTACCAATATTGCTGAGTTGCACTCTTGGGACGACTTTATTGTAAGATTCAATTACAAGAAATCAACTTTAACTTGAGAACATCCATTAGAAAAAATCATAGCATGTGATTCGTCTTTTAAAATGCCATGCCATGCCATAATGATAGTAAAATTATCCTGTTAGTGATTCCATAGTAAATCATGAGGAATAAACCTCATAATACTTTTCCAACATGGTAAGTATTTTGTCTTGCATTTAGTTTACTTTCAATAAACACAAAACTCTGATTTTATATGTATGTTATTTA